AATACACTTGATTTGGTTGGTTCTAGTCAATAGTGAGTATATCTGGTGAGTTGTAGTATAATTTCCATTTCTAGCTTATGATGTTTCTGGAGTATTTAATATCGGTTTCTTCATACACCATCTGCATTGCACACACTATGATCTTGTTAGCGAGACTTTACATTGTGTGTGAGATTTGGGATGACTGTCACATGTTAGTAGGGTGACTTTGAACATGAATTGACCATTTTTATTAGACCTAAACTCGAGTTTACCTATGCATGAATCACTATTTGTCTGGAAAAATAATCATAAGGGTCTCAATATCTTAATGTTTCTTTTCGAAACCTATTTGACTTGAGTAATTAAGACTGCGGGGTTTCTTATAACCTGGTATCTATAGCCATCTGACTTGGGTTAACCGGCGTAAAGCTCATTACAGGGGTCTTGTTAGTCGCTTAATGGAAAAGAGCCTGCACTTCTGATAAATAGAAATATGTTTGTGCGGTCAGTCAGGGGGAGAAAATAAATTCTTCACTTAAAATGAGCTTTCACATGTAGGCTCTAATGTGCTATACGGTTTGATTTTTATAAGTAGAATAATATACTAATTAGCAGTGATGTTTAGTATGTCCTTTCTAACTAATTTAAGGTTTGGAGTCCTACTGCCAGAGGACTAGTGACACTTCACACATATGAGTCACTTGTATCATCTACCCCATAGGTATTTTTAAGTTTGAAGTGTGGGAAACTTTACTGTTCACCGCATATGCTTGTGATTATTTATACCTCCATTATTGAGATGTTGTGTACACTTGCCTTGTCCCTTGTCATTTTGTGACCAAAAAAGGGGAGAATTTTTTTGAAATTTTGAGGTTACGTGAGGGGGAGCTTAGTTTCGCTAAATTAAGTTTTTTATATTTTTACAGCGTCAATGTTTTGTTTTGGTATGTTGGGTTGTTTTGATACCGTGTCTTAATTTAGTTTGTGATTTAGAATTGAAAAGTATGCTATTTTAGCTACAATTGCTTAAATGACATCTACAAATGAACTGTTTGAACTGTGCTGATTATTGATCATGTTTACCACACATTTTATACTGGTATTTGAGTTGTTTATTTCAGGAAACAGGTATTGCAGAGTTTGTTCCAGATAATTTGTAGTTTAGTTTATGTCATCATTTTGAGGATGTAACTTTTATTTTATTATTGCCTTGACATAGATTAGTGTTTTGTCACAGAATGCCAAATGAGGAGTTTGTTAGGTTTTAGTTGATTTTATAATTGACAAATTATGTGAACAAAAGGACTTAAATTGATAGAGTGTAAAAGTTCAAGAAGTAATGTACAATTTGTTTAAAAGTTAGTTAAATAGGTCTAGAATTTTAAGTTTGAAATAAGGAGGAAAACGACGCAGATTTTCTCTAGACTGTCGCCAAGGGTTGACTCGAGTTACAAAAATAGAAACTGCATCGCTAGACTATCGCCCCTCCTTCGCTCTAGCGACACACTGTCGCTTGACTGTTGTGGCTCCTCGCTCAAGCGATGATTTATACGAAAAAATTTTATTTCTCATTTTAAAGGCTTTTTTTCTCGGCCCATCTTATTTTTACCCTACCCATAAATATCAAACAGCCTCAGAACGAGATTTTCCAAAGTTGAACATTAAGCAAACACTGTGTTGTCAGTATTCTTTCATTTTCTTAGCTTTCAACCTTCATGTATCTTTGAGATTCGTTCTTGGTAGTGGGAAAAAACATCAGATCCAAATCCAAATCCAAATACCAAAAACCACACTTTTTATATATCTGTCAACGGTGCTGAAGATCGAGGAAGACGACTAGAGTTTCAGTCTGTGAAGAATGGGTTGTTCTTTGTGATCCACGGGAGATAAATGAATTCACAAGGTTTGGAGTGATTTCGGGTAGCAGATTCCACGGAGAGCTTTGGCAATAACAATTAAGGATTGGTGCAAGAGAGCAGGAATCCGTGGAGAGATGTAAGGAATGCAGTCGAGTAATCAGATTGTACGGGTTGTCTAGTGTGGTAGACTGAAAGTCTTTAAATTCGTTCATAGTGGATTGATTGGCAAAGTGCCTGGAGTTTTTCCCAATTAGGATTCTCCGTGATCATTTTTTGTGTTGATTACTAATATCATTATATTGATTGATTATACAACTGCGGTATCCAAACTTAGGATTAAGATTGACTTGCATGAATAATCATCTAGAAAAGAATTAAAAATTGACTTGCTGCTATTTAATTTATTAGTAATTTTAAATTCCGAATATTATACCTATTCACCCATCCTCTAGGTATTGTTAGGGTCGAATTGCGAAACTTTCACCATGGAAAGAGAGTAAGGAAAGCCAATTTTTTTTTAGGGAAGATCCCTTGTTGAGGTGGAGCGTGTGAATATCTACATCCCCATTGCCTCGAGCAAGGTGGAGATAAATATACAAAATCAGCATAACATAGAGTTAGAAGGTGATGAGAAAGTTGTTGAGGACAACCCTACCGACCAGAACCATTTACCTGATTATCAATATTAGCTAAAGCTAGAGAGATGAGACCACATCGGAAACCCCAAAGCATGATAACTATATCATAGCCTATACTAATTATGAAGAACTAGTTGATAAGAAGCCTATTACTTGTAAGGAGGTTATGAGGAGTGATAAAAGTCAGGAGTGGCTAGGAACCATGAGAAAAGAGATGAGTTCTCTTACCAAAAATAAAACTTGGGATTTAATTCCTAAACCCAAGGATAAATCCATAGTTGGATGCAAATTGGTTTACAAAATCAATTAGTGAACTATTATGAGTGAGCCCATGAGATACAAGGCTATGTTAGTAGACAAAAGGTACACGCAAAAGGAAAGGGTAGATTATAATGAGATATTTTTCTCCAATTGTTAAGTATACCACTATTAGGGTCATGCTTGCTTTTGTTGTTTATTATGACTGAGGACTTGAACAACTTGATGTCAAAACTGTTTTTTTGCAGGGTGATTTTGATGAAAAGATTTTTATGAATCAATCCAAAAGTTTTGAAAGTAAGTTTAAACCTGACCATATAAGTAAGTCTCTCCATAGGCTAAAACAACCTTCGTGTCATTGGTATAAAAATTTTGATTTTTACGTGTTGTCTATTGGTTTCAAGAGAAACGGGTTTGACCATTGCTTGTATTACTTACACCACAACACTAATAAAGAGTGTATGTATTTGTTACTTTATGTGGACGACATGTTTCTAATTGGACCTAACATGAAGGGGGTAAACAAGATGAAGCCCCTGTTTGGTACACATTAAAATTTTCATTCTAATTCTTCTACTCATTTTCAATCACACATCTTTCAATA